ACGATCTTCATGTATCTCGTCCGTACGAAGGTGAAACGCTATCCTCGACATGGTGGCATCCTTTCGATTGCGCGAATATGCTGTTCACGGTATGGTGACATCGTCGCTTCGATCGCGTGTCAGAAGTGCGGCAGAGTCGCAGGACTACGCAGCTGTTGTTGAATCGAGGTGCATTGTACAGCGATGTCCCGAGCATAAGAGTGCGCGTGCCCGGATTCGAACCAGGGATTTCACCGCCACAAGGTGAGGTACTGACCACTATACTACACACGCCTGGAGAAGCAGGGTATCGATCCCTGTACCTCTCGCATGCTAAGCGAGCGCTCTACCATTTGAGCTACATCCCCGGATACCACACACCGACCCGCACACGAAATTTCTGCACATTGCGCATCTCCTCGACGTTGTCACGCTGCACCACACTCACCACAACATCATGCTGCATCCATACGCTTGCATCGTTCGTTGCGACTCTGTACAAGCCTTTGCGGTCACATTCACTTGGTCTGCACTTGATGCGGTCTTCGACGATTCTAGAGCCAACCGACGCGCTGAACAAGATGTACGAACCCGAAAAGCTCAATCTTGAGCGAGAACGGTTATCGCAGCTGTGTGTCGACACCACAGTCGGTCGGCCACCGGAGTAGCTACGCCTTCAACAATCGACTTCTCACCAATATAGTTGGCAGCGAAAGCGAATATACGAGTCAAACACAGTGCGCATTCGGTCGCACTTCACTCCACCACACAAGCGCCGTTCGGTCCACGACGCAAAGCACGATCTTCATGTATCTCGTCCGTACGAAGGTGAAACGCTGTCCTCGACATGGTGGCATCCTTTCGATTGCGCGAATATGCTGTTCACGGTATGGTGACATCGTCGCTTCGATCGCGTGTCAGAAGTGCAGCAGAGTCGCAGGACTACGCAGCTGTTGTTGAATCGAGGTGCATTGTACAGCGATGTCCCGAGCATAAGAGTGCGCGTGCCCGGATTCGAACCAGGGATTTCACCGCCACAAGGTGAGGTACTGACCACTATACTACACACGCCTGGAGAAGCAGGGTATCGATCCCTGTACCTCTCGCATGCTAAGCGAGCGCTCTACCATTTGAGTACAGCGATGTCCCGAGCATAAGTGTGCGCGTGCCGCATTCGGACCAGGGATTTCACCGCCACAAGGTGAGGTACTGACCACTATACTACACACGCCTGGAGAAGCAGGGTATCGATCCCTGTACCTCTCGCATGCTAAGCGAGCGCTCTACCATTTGAGTACAGCGATTTCCCGAGCATAAGAGTGCGCGTGCCCGGATTCGAACCAGGGATTTCACCGCCACAAGGTGAGGTACTGACCACTATACTACACACGCCTGGAGAAGCAGGGTATCGATCCCTGTAGCTCTCGCATGCTAAGCGAGCGCTCTACCATTTGAGCTACATCCCCGGATACCACACACCGACCCGCACACGAAATTTCTGCACATTGCGCATCTCCTCGACGTTGTCACGCTGCACCACACTCACCACAACATCATGCTGCATCCATACGCTTGCATCGTTCGTTGCGACGCTGTACAAGCCTTTGCGGTCACATTCACTTGGTCTGCACTTGATGCGGTCTTCGACGATTCCAGAGCCAACAGACGCGCTAAACAAGATGTACGAACCCGAATACGTCCCTAAGTATTAATTATGTCCCAATTTGGTTTGTTATCGATCGTTTGCATTTGCCTCAAGTCGTACCTTTTAAATCTTGCAGAGGATTAAGAACGCTTCATTCGGACAGAGCGCTGTATTACCAAATGCATAACGAATTAGTCGAGTTAATAGTTTCACATTCATACAATGGCAAGCCACTAAAGCTGCATGAATATAGTTATATGCAATGCGATCTTATCATTGAGCGATAAGAGGCTCTACGAGTCTACGCATGGGGCGTCGATTCATTCATTTCTTTGTGCAATACGAGTTGATTGTATCAGGTATAGGTATGTATATAGTCAATGATATAAGAAGGGGAAAATAAAAAAATGCCCCAGATAAGCAAGAAAATAAAAAATGCCCCACGTCCTAGGTTGACGAATACGCTCAAGGCATCATCGCACATTTCTTTCCTGAAACAGGCTTGCATACATTGAAGTCATCAATACGAGCCAAACAGAAATAATAGATTTATCGGGGTTTATTGATATGATTATATGTCTTTAAGTATCAAAACTGATACGCAGGAAGGGAATGCAATCTCACAAGTAAAACAACAGTGAGCACCTACAACAGCAATAGCAACTGGAACAACAATAGCAAAAGCGCTAACATGAATATCAACAACATTAGCACCGACAGACTGAGTTAACGGCCGCGACCGATGATACGAAGATGCGTTTGCGTCCTCATATGTCGCATCTGCGCCTGCAATAGGTGGCTGCAAGCGCGACAAGCCCGCATTCGGTAGATGCAAGCGCAGCACGCCCGCGGCAGAACCCTCTCCGTGGCTTCCCAAACAGAACGGGGTTGGTCACGACCATAAAATGGAAAAAGGAAATTGATTAAGGACGTGTGGTTTTATGTGTACCACATTAACTTGAGTGTACTAGGACGTGGGGCATTTTTTTGTAATTTCCAGTTTCTGGGGAATTTTTATATTTTCGTGATCTAATGGGGCATTTTTTATTTTCCCTAGATTAAAACGCATAGTATAAATGGCAAAGTATGTGGTGGAAATGGCAAAACGCGTGGTGGAAATAGTTTTTTGCTAAATGCCACCGCAAGGATTGTGAGCGAAAAAATCTGCTGTTTGGCAGAGTCTTGACAAAATCCAGCTTTTTTCATACCTTTGATTTGTAAGGTATTCACAAACCCGCCGCAGCCTTCCAAAGTTGGCAAAAAGTGGCGACCAAGAAGACCAGACCATGAGTCGCGCGCGCGTATACTGCGACGTAAACGAGACACGGCCACGAGAGTATTGGGACTACGAGACGCTGAATGTGGCCTGGGGGTGCGTTGTGCTGTTTCCCTTTTGATTCCTCTGTTCCATCTGCTCCTCGAAGCCTCGTTCGCAATCTTCTGCTCTGGGGGGAGAGAGGATCAGTTGCGATTGCAGGGCTGTATCTGCGTTCACCCTACTACAACGAACAACTCAACGATCGTTGAAATGTGCAGGGACCAAGACAACTACGAGGTGATTCGCAAGATTGGTCGGGGCAAGTACAGTGAGGTCTTCGAGGGTTACAATGTGGCTAGCAACTCCCGCTGCGTGATCAAGATCCTCAAGCCCGTAAAAAAGAAAAAGATCAAACGGTACGAGTATTTGCCGAGTTTCCCTCGAGCTGATACCGACCTCCGAGATCTCACTGTGTCTTGTCTTGATGTGGTGTGTGATTACACTCTCCATTGCCGCTTTTGTAGTGAGATCAAGATCCTGCAGAACCTGTCGGGCGGTGTGAATATTATTCAGCTGCTGGATGTGGTGCGCGACCCGCAGTCCAAGACGCCGAGTTTGGTGACCGAGTATGTGAACAATACGGACTTCAAGATGCTGTATCCGACGCTGAGCGACTTCGACATTCGCTACTACTTGTTTGAGCTGCTGAAGGCGCTGGACTATTGTCACTCGAACGGCATCATGCACCGTGACGTCAAGCCGCACAATGTCATGATCGATCACGAAAAGCGCCAACTACGATTGATTGATTGGGGTCTTGCCGAGTTTTACCACCCTGGTCGTGAATACAATGTGCGTGTGGCTAGCCGCTACTTTAAGGGACCAGAGCTGCTGGTGGATATGCAGGAGTACGACTACTCGCTGGACATGTGGAGTCTTGGTTGCATGTTTGCGGCCATGATTTTTCGCAAAGAGCCATTCTTTCATGGCCATGACAATTGTGACCAGCTGGTGAAGATCGCAAAGGTCAAGGGTACGGATGAGCTTTTTGACTACCTCACGACGTATGACCTAGAGCTTGACCCGCAGTACGATGGCATCTTGGGCACGCACACGAAGAAGCCGTGGGAAAAGTTTGTCACGCAAGACAACAAGCATTTGGTATCCGCTGAGGCTATCGACTTCTTGGATGGTCTGCTGCGCTACGATCACCAGGAGCGACTAACAGCAAAGGAGGCCATGCAGCATGCGTATTTCCAGCCAGTACGTGACGCAGCTGAGCAGAAGCTGCGAGGCGGTGCGCATCACACGGAAGAGATCACCAGCGTGTCTGACTCAAGTGCATAAAGTGCGTGGTCCGGGCTACGCCTTGTCTGAGAGAAGGTTGAACGGAGGCCAACGTTGTTCTAGAGAAGGGTGCATGAGTTTTGAGTGACCAGTGACCAGACTCATCATTGATCAGCTCTGCAAGATTCTGCCGCTGAGAGAAGAGCATGACGAGGAGAAGAACGAGAGCAATGGCCTGTGCGAGGACATGCAAGACCATGTCGCACGAGCGTGTAGGGTCACTATGTGGACGGAGCGAGACAGAACGGAGACGTTTGCGCTCTTTGACTATCGGCGGCTGGACAAGTGACGATTGCGTGAGAGCAGCAGTGTGATGTGTGATTGACCACTTCTTTTCCCATTGTTGTGTCGCTTGTGATTCTTCTGCGTCTCCTGCGCGTGTTCACCTTCTCAGGCTGTCGAGACGAGCTGAGACGCATGCAAACTTGAGTTGACCGACCAAACTCGATGGCCGGTAAGCTTCCGACTATGTCGGGGCGTTTTCGTCAGTCTTTGCATTCCCAGTCAGCGTAGATAGCGAGGAGGTGGTGGAATGCGAGGCCAGCACAGACAAGTGACACGTCGTCGTGTCTCCTCCCGCTCCGTTAAGTGCGTGCATCTCGACAAGCTGACGGTCGTGCTTCGGTGTACCTTTTGTGGTGTACACGAATTTGCGCATACACAGACCAAATCAAAACGCGAATCCCTGCCCACCGCTCACTTACCAAAGTGCAAAGCGCGCCACCTCATTGGCTGTGCGATCACGTATCCGTCCGTCCCCACCGTCGAAGGATGTGGCGCGTCTGTCGCGTTGCGACGCTCCGTCACCTCCGGGTCGACACTGGTCGACTGTCAAATGCCCGTGCACTGCCGACCCTGTCTCTGTCGCTGCAGCCAAATGACGCCACCAGGTACTTCAGAAGTATCGCTGGCGTGGATCGCGACTTGCTGCTCACGCGCTCTGCGCGCGAACTGCGCGACGAGTTGGGCGACTCGAAGATTGGGAACGTGGCGAAGGCGCTCACGCGGGAGCTGGACGACGCTCTTGCGCGCGAGGACGTGACCAGCGACGAGATCATTGACGTGTTCACGGCGGCCCAAAAAACGCGCGCGATCTCTGTGATGCTGAAAGCCTTTGACTTTCTCGAGGCCACTTTTCCTGCCCACATTAACTTTGCAGTGTACGGTGAAGTGTTTCGTGTCTTGGCTCGCAAGAACAATCCCGATCGCCTCATTCAGATCTTCGAGACATCGAAGCCACGCTTCAGTGCGGTTCCTGAGATGATCTACCGCTTCGGGATCATTGGGTATTTGCAGAAGAATGACATGGAAGCGGCCGTCGAAACGTGGCAGGAAATGTTGGATGCTGGCCATGAGACGACCAACGAGATTACTTCTCAGCTGATGATGGCGTACGCGCGTCACGGACAGGTGGAGAAGGTGCTGGAGCTGTACGAGTCTATCGATCCACAGATTGGCCACTGGCACGAGTCGTGCATTGACCGAGTCATACTCAGCATGGGCATCATTGAGCAGCCTGCCAAGGCCTTTGAATTCTACAGCAACTCGAGCATGAAGTTGAACGGCGGAACGCTGATGGCGCTCTTGAGTGTCTGCAACAACAACAATTGCAAGCAACAGGCTTCGGACATTTTGGCAAACCGCAAGAAGTTCGATTTGCGCCTTGACGCGCGTGGCTACAATCGCATCATGATGACACTTGAATTTCTGGAGCGCAACGATGAGATCAAAGACATTTTGGAGGAGATGGTTGAGAGTGGGGTCCGATTCGACACGCGAACGAACGCGATTATTGAGCGCAACTCCCAATTTCTGAAAGAAACGAACTTTGTCGCTAATCTGAGCAAGAGCAGGGCCGCAGGATTTACGATAAGTCCGCGCATTCGCGAGATGCTTGCACAAGGGCAATTGACTGAAGCAGCAGCGTATGTAGACTCCATTGTGAAGCCCGTGGAGGAGTCACAAGTACCAGACGATTTTAAAGGCAAAGTGCCCGAAGGGGCTCTGGTTGTGAGCGCCAATGCGGCAAGAGACGTCGTGCAAGCGTACATCAAGACAGGGCAACTTGACAAAGTGGCCGCGCTGGTCAAGGGGTTCTCCGTGGTTCGTGGGAAGTATACGTTTGCTTTGGCTGAAGTCATTTCTCACTGTCTACCGCTGAAAATGAAGACGGGAGACGAGCTCAGCTATGCTGCTACTAAAGCGCTGCTTTACCAAGGAATTCGTATTCACCGCGTGAACGACGCACTCATGCTGTTCCGTCGTTTTCACGACCCTGAAGCGACCCTTGAGCTGTTTGAACAGGTACTAGCATCGTACTGTGGTAGAGACGGCAAGGACGCGCGCATGCCTGCTGAAGGCCAGGACGAGAACGACGATGAATACGAAAGAAAGCCTCACTATGTGAATTTTAACATCGGTAAGGTGATCAATTCGGTTCTGCGGACGCTGGTGGAAAATGGTAGAATGGCGGTTGCTCTAGATGCTCTGACGATGATGGAAAGTCGGGGTCTGCAGACTACGCAAGCTAATTACGTCACGATCCTAAGCTCGATGCACAAGTGCTTGCTACAGTCGAACAAGGGCCATGAAAAGAAGAAGGTGGTGTACGATATGTCCAGTTTTCGTGCAGTGCTGAAGGATCTCATGGACCGGAATTTGAAGGTGAACAAGGCTATTGTTGGCTACTTGTGCCCTGCGTACAAGGGTGCAAACAAGCAGCAGCGTTTGGAATTGCTGGAGGCTTTTGATGGGACCCTGGCGGATCCCGATGACACTTACGTCTTGCCGCATTCATGCTATGCAACGCTCTTGACTTTCACGGCACAGGAAGGTACCATGTCGGAGGTAAAGAAGCTATACGACGAAGCTGTGAATTCCTTGGACAAAAAAGAAACGCTGGGTGTGCCGCGCAGCTGGGTGACTGTCTTGGTCGAAAAGTTTGTCGAGGAGGGCAACGTGGAAGAAGCCGAGCAGCTCGTAAAACAGATGCATACGATGTGTGGCGGGTACACGTTTGGAGCTGTGCTGGCAGTACTGAGGGGGGCTATGGAAGCCCAGAAGCCGGATGTCGTTGACAGCATGGTGGCGCTCTTGGAAGAACGGGAGTTTATCGTGGGGCTGTCAGACGCGTACGAGCTGGTCCACTTGGCCCGCAAGCACGACCTTGCGCTGAAATCGCTGGATATCATTCAGCTCTTCGAGAAGAGCAACTTGAAGGAGGTAGCACCTCCAGCGGATGGCTCTGGAACTCTGGAAGAAGCCTACTTCCGTCGCCAGCGCGGCGATTCCCATGCGTTCCGAAAGGTCAAGACCATGTACACTGTGGCTCTTAAGGCGTGTGAGAAGGGCGGACTCTGGAAACAGGCGCTTGGGCTGCAGGACCAGATGGCGATACTGCTGGGCAAGGAGGTCATGGATGCGATCGCCGCGGACGGCACGCGCAAGGAGAAGCAGTCGAACAACGAATAGATGGTAGAGCAGCCTCCAGGTCAGGGTTTGATAGACGGATACACCGTAAATACAATCTCAATCGCTTGTCTGTCGGTTGGCTCATTCTCAATGGCGTCGCCACTTCCATGTGGCGGTCGGTCGGCACTCGACACCCACGTGGTCCTCTGACCTCACTGAGTTCCTCGTAACTAGTAGAATCAGACCGAGCGTTTGCCTGTTCCGTTGCGTACTGTGCTTGCTACGAGCTGTGTGGTACGACATCAAATGTTGCGGTGATGCGCTGTCTGAGTCAGGTCGCCGCTTGTAGATGAGTGAGTGCAGTAAGGCGGCGGATGTATGCGACAGGGCCAACTCGTGCGGAAGGAGCTGAGCAATCGCGCTCAAGGCAGTGGCCGATGCGGCTTTGAACGTCGTGAAAATCCTAGTACGAGGCTGCCAAGCGATGCCATTGTCCAAGCTGTAGCGAGTTGGCCTTAGATGTGTGTGAGACCCACTGCGGGGGCAGCGCGGCTTTCAATCTATCGACAGATGTCCGACAACGCCGCGACTGCAGAGGGTTTGCAAAAAACGCGTATCACCAATCAAATGCGCATCGACTTCTTGACTCGGACTCTCGATCAACACCAGCCAAGCGACGCAGACCTCTGAATAGCCGGTCAACCGGCCTCTTTGTCGGGGCGGTAAGTCCTCTGTAGTGGGACTGGGGGTAAAGGAGAGACCTTCTTGCTGCAGCGTGCGACCTGGAAGGGGACCAATCGACTCGACGTCCCGACGATGTGTGGGGTACGTCGACGGAGTATTGAACACGCTGCTCCTAAGGCGCAAGCAAGTTCCTGCTCTTCTACGTCCGCCTATGGTCACCCGCACGTTTGCCGAGCGCGATGTTCGGTTCTACGATGAGAACTCGCCTTGAACGTGATGCTGTCCGCTCGGTTCAGTACCAGCGATGTATGCAAAGGACAAGCCAAGATGGTTCATCGGAGGCTGTTCGAAGTGGCAATTGACGCACCTCTCTGGCGTCCTCTGCACCCGACGTGCACCCCGTGCTGGGAAGTCGGATACACGTGTCGTTTGCGGCGTGTCCTTCGTAAAGCCCGCCGTCTCCAGCTGGCTGAACGAGCCAGCGCGGAGAAGACCGATGTAGTCACCGCAAAAAAAGATACAGGGAAACCTCCATACCGACATCTTTGGACAGCCATGAGTGCTCAATAGACAGTCTGGTCGATCTATCAATTATTTGCGCGTTGACTTCCGCTTCGATTGGGAACAACATTGGATTTTTCATGCGATTGATTGTTGTCTATCGTGGCGTCGAAGTTGCTGTCGCAATTGTACCTAATGGAAGTGCCCACACACATTGAGGCGTAGAGTAAAAAACTGCGAATGTGACCGGAAGCTTGAGCAGATCGAGAGACGGGAAGCTGCGCTCTTGCATTGATGTCCGAGCTGCAGAGAGAGTCGCTTTTCGTCGTGTTGTTGTGCGACAACAAGAAAAGGATAGCGAGCATCGAAGGGGTCGACCGTACGTTTCGTCTAACTCGTGACATGCTGCAAAGCTGGAAAAATTAGAAGCTCGAGGTCGCTGTTGCTGCGCTCGACTTGAGCTCAGATGGAAGAGTACCTGACCAGGGGGACCGTCGCGTGCGACCCATGGTCAAGATTACAGCAAGGACGGCAGGTGTCGTAAGACAATGGCTTTGTCCAGGTCTAGAACGTCACGATGATTCGGCACGCTGAATCATATCTGTAACGGCAGGCTGGCTCTTCACGTGCAATGGCACCGGTGGTGTGCTTGCGGAAGCGGGAGCCCGGTTGCGAGCGACAAGGGGAAGCGCAGGGAGCTCGTTGACTAACAGACGAAGTCAGCATCAGTCTGGAGGGGATCGTCATGACAAGTTGGGGCGATCAATCGAGTGCTCGTCGATGCGACCGGACTGCTGCGGTTGAAGGCGTTATAGTACTGCGGATGTCAGTGCCGCGGCGGCGAGTAACAACGGATGAAACCATGACCAAAAGGCACCGCAGTTCCGCCGAAGACGACAGGGCAAAAACTGGTGGTGTGGAATGTTTGTGCGACGAAGGTGGAACAAGGCATTGGGTGAGCGTGGATCTCTTCGAGAGGGAGGCTGACTTCGTGTACATTCTACGGCCAACAGCAACCGCAGTGGTGGCAGTTTCGGATGTCAAAAGCGGACATCGCCTTCGTTTCAACATGTCTCCGCGATCTGACTAGTGATGCTCAACAACGTCTCCAGCGCCTTATTAAATAGTGCTTACTTTTCTACGCAGTCTAAACTTTCGACTGAACGGGTACCAGAGCGCCCGTCCGATCGCGACGCAACAGACTACGTGAGCGGCATGGCCCTACCCCCTGTGCTGCCGCGTCGGCCTCACGCTGCTCGAGATCTCTGAGACCCAATCGAGTCGTGACCTCGTCGAACGAGCGGCACCACCACGTCTCGGTGTGGTACTTGATGGAGTCGGCGCAGCCGACGCGTCCGTCGCGCGTTCGGAAGGCGTGCATGTGGACATGGTCGATGCTGTTGAATGGCGGCGAATGAAAGGCAAACTTGAAGTCGTCGTCGTCGCCAGCGCTGTCTACGGCAGTGCCCGGAGTCCGCTCTGCCTTTCGAAGCGGGGCGAGCAGCCGTGAAGGACGGGGCATCTCTCGAAGCACATTGGCGGCCACCTCGCGCATGTGGTGCAGCAGCGCTACGTCATCGAGCGTCAGTTCGTTTACGTTGCGGATGTGTCGACGCGGCACGACCAAGATGTGGCTGACGACGACGGGGGCTAGGGGCCGAAACACAGTGACGTCCTCGTCCTCGTAGAGGAAGGGCTCATTGCCCGACTTGAGGATCTCGCAGAACCGGCAGGAGACCAGCGCGCCGTCACATCCGTACGTGACGCCCTTCCTGGGCCCCGAAGTCGTGGACGACCTCGTGGAAGACGACGACGTAGTCGATAGCAATGAGCACGGGTACGAGCTGTGGTGGCGGCACTGGTCCCGCAAAGACTCAGTGGGCTGACTCGAACGGGCAGACAGCATCTCTGGGGCAGACCACAAGTGGCTCGCGCCAGCAACGTCCGAGCGACATCGAAGTGCGGATGCAGTTGCACCTTCCGCAGGGGTTGTCACGACGGACGTGGCCCGTTGCGGTTGAGGTGCAGCTGCGGCCGTTTCCGTCGCACGAAAGGGCGGGAAACACGCGCGCAGGCGCTTGCGAAATCGCGATTTCGAGGGCGGGGCCGGGCAGGAGGAGCTGCCTACTGACATGAGAGCGACCATATCTGCTGCGCTTATGTCTCGGCAAATTGTCAAATGACAGTCAAGCGCCGCCCCCTCTGCTGCATGCCGAGACAACAGACAATGAGCGCCTACCTCAGCAGCCGTTACTTGGAACGTACGCCCTGCTCATGAGGGAAAGGGGACGGCCCTAATCAGTCCTGAGGGGAAGGGGTCCGATTCACACCAATCCTGCATGCGATCGTACCCTTTTGGTACCCATTTATGTATCAATTTTAGAGCGCCAGGAACCTGTTTCGACGAACGCCCGGTCTTATCGTGTGACAGTTCGTTGCGGACTTATTGTTCCTGAAGGTGGCAAAGTGACGACTACGACGGTCAAAGTGACTGAGACGGTGAGCGACAGGACGTGGACACTTTGGGTACGTCATCCGCTATAGGGCAGGACGAAACGCAAGCGAAGTGTCGATTCGACCACAGCGGCAACACAAAGAGCAGAAGTGACCAGTGACAGCCACCTCGGCGATGGGACGTTCGTCTCGTGCACCGGTTGCGCTCCAATACTTGTCATTAGCTTCTTCCCGCAAGGAACGCCTCTGGCATGTTGTCTGGGTTCAGAAAGCGCACACAGGCTGTGGACTCCAGGCATCCGAGACAGGGAGTCGATCCCGTTGGCACGAATGTGCGACAGCCGGTGCAATTGAGTCGCATGTGCGTTCGTCGATAATTTTCGTTTTCGTGGCGTTCGTAGACTTCTGCTCTCCCTCACTTTACTATTGGATGGCTCTGAGTGCGTCTACGTCATAACATCAGGCCGACAAGTCGTTTTTTGCGTGTCCGGCTATATACAGCGACCGGCGATAGATTCAAGTGTAGCTCTGTGTAGAATCTTGAATCGACAGCTCAGAAATAGCTCGGGCAGCAACGCTGTGCAGGTGGTAGAGTAAAAACGTGCTCATGCGAAGTGGTCGGTACTTATAGCTTGCCGTGTAAGAGCTTAGTACTTCCCTCTTATACCTTATGCATTCGGTGAACGAAGATTTAATTTCTTAGCGGAGGTTTTAACTGGCGAAGTGATTGCGGTAGGACACACCCACGTGACAATCCAATTCTATTAGGCTAATTTTGGGCAGTGGCGACCAAAAACAGAAACATCGTCACCCGTCGAGATAGAATCACCAGAAATCGGCAAGAACCAACCTCACGACTACTAATCTTACGAACGCTGACAACGTGCTTATTCTTCAGGGGTTTGGATGGGGTTGGCACCTGCACGAAGGTGTGGGACGCGACCCATTCTATATTCTGTGTTGACGATTCCGTGGGTGGTAAATATGTAGTGCAATGGATTGATCATATGCATGTTTGATTGAAAACACTCCGTCGCAAGTTGCGGATGACCTGAAGCTTGTAAATGCCAAGGGAATTTTCTCACTGCATGAGATGACCATGATGTCGTTAATAGGTGCTGCATCTTCTTGACATGCAAGCAGATCTATTTCTGCTACTATCTGCAGAATGGGGTCGATTGCGACGAACCTGGATAGATCAGCAGCGTCTACAAAGTCACCAAACTTACCCACTTCCGCTCTGGCCGGAAGCCGGCTGTCTGCACCGAGATCTCGCCTCCACCTTTGTTATGCTACAAACGCACAGTCGTACGGTAAAGCCTCTTTTCTCTTTGACTGCTATTGAGATGGAGGGAGCAACGATTATATAAAGGAGATTAAGGAGGCGGAGGCTGAATCAGAAGCTAGGGTATAAGCTTTTGTTTGAGGAATTTCGGTATCGCACGTCAAGTCGAAATTTCTTGATTATATCAAAGAAGTTATGAACACTCAGCTGGCTGACCGAAAGCATAAATTCTAGCAGTCACTGAAGGTCTGACATGCGCCACTGATACCGCATAATTCTTATGCAACTTTTCGTTGGATGGAAGCTTGGGGAACTCAGATGACGTCGTGACATCATCAGATGGGTTTCGTATTGCACCTCGCAGCCAACCGAACATCCTCCTCGAAAGCAGCTTTCAACTTTTAGCCACGACAAGGGATGGCCGTTCCCGTACAAGTTAAGGAGTAGCACAGAAAGCTAATAGGCATCAAATGTACTTCTCATTGTGCTATGATTTTTAAAGTGGTACCCGCTGGATACATGCCGTTCCTCTGCAAAAAAGCCCGTTGCAAGCCAAGGGGTTGTCAGGTCAGATGATGACGAGCAAAAGTTGGACCTTTTCTGAAAGTGTATCCGGTCGCAGCATGGCCGATGGAAACCGTTTGACAGTGGTGAGGTGCCGTCAACATGCATTATGCGCGAGGTAGTTCCATACTGTGAAGAACGATTACAGCCGGGCACAACAAGTGTATTCTTCGGTTGAGTTGAACTTCGATGTATGTCAATAGTTCCATTTCGCCCTGCAACATCCTAGTCTTTAGCACACTAGTTTAATATGCGTATCCTTCCGTGCTGCAACGAGCTAAGCTTTATTCAATTAGATTTGTTCAAAATAGTAGATCTGATTCTGGCTAGAACCTAATCCTTAGCAGCCATGAGGCCATCAAACCTGGTCGGTGGACTTCAGATTCAACAGCAGACAAGAGATTACAACTAATCAGAGGACAACATATCGGAGAGAACACTTCACGTCAGCTCGATGGATCCGTGTGGTACGCGCAGCACGACAAAAAACACGCGCACTCTGCACCGTCCCGTCTTCGACACCAGCACTTGCAGCTGGTAGTCGGATTTGAGAACTTGCTCACACCGAAACTGGTCCCGGACATTTGTGCTCATTTATTCACGTAAAGCTTGTATGTGGTCTACCGCTTCCCAAGTCGCCAGCTGATGTGCCTTCTGGTCACTACTGCACAGCTAGGGCATCTCGCAGAGTCGCACGTGGCCACGTGGGACCAGACCGACATGTTCGCAACAGACGACGCAAAGACAACGACGACCGACGTGGCACGCAATCTCACCCGTAACTTACGCAGCTTTACCTGTAAGTTACGCCGCTTGCGTCGAGAGGAAGGACCGATTGCTCGTCGCTCGAAATGCACGGAACCAGAAGCTCGCCTCGCCGGGTATAAAGCCGGCTGGTCAACGGTACCAACAGGCCTATCGCCCGGTCTGTCGTTGCTTCCGCTATTCCGTGAAGCACGAAGATGTGCAAAGCAGGCGTCGATTTCGCGAGGTGATTACGGGCATGTTTAGAGCAATGTATTCCGTGACGTAAAACGCACGTGGGTCAGCTTGACGTGCAACGACACGGTCGTCTATTGTGGGGAGGAGTTTCATGATCGTCTATTTACATGTTAACATGTGCGAGTCGGTCGTCTATCGTGTAGCGCAGGGTGCAGGACGGAACGAGACGATCGAGCGATGTCTCTCGCTTGCTCGCCACTACCAGAGCTCTGTGACAATGAGATGCTCTGCCAGCTTCTGCGCCACGACACGCTCGGCGTCTTCTTGTGTTACGATGACACTGTCCAAATACTCGGGATGCCGCACTATAGCTGCGACAATCGCCTTCTTCACGGCGCGGCTCATGGCCTGGCTGCCGCACAAGTAGATGTAGCCCTTATCTCCAAGTAAATGTCGCACCACGAGCTCGCTCTGGTCAATCAACGCATCCTGGACGTACTTTGAACACCAAAAAACACCATGCCAAGGCAGCGTAAGTTACGGGCAACCGGCCGTCAACAACGCACAGTAGCAAATACGTAGCCCCAGTACCCGCTTCGAGTGGTCGCCGTCAGCCGAAAACGCGACGTGCAATTCATCGAGCACTCCCGAGTCTCGTGCGCGCTGGAATTCCTCGGCATACAAAAAGTCCACGCTTGCATCACGGCATCCATAAAAGAGGTAGGCTGGTCGGTGCCCGTGTGGCGACGTAGCGACTTCATGCTCCAAATCCTGCAGAAAAGCTCGAAATGGCGCAATTCCAGTGCCCGCACTGATAAGCATGATCGGACGATGATCGTGAAGAGGGAACACAAATGACGACCGGTGGAACGATGCGCGAATGAACTCCCCTTGCTTCAACTTTGCAAGATAGCTGGAACAACGTGGCAACGGCAGCACATCCGTCTCACAAAGTCCCAGTGTGATGGAAACCACGTCAGGAACGAGGCGCCGTGACGAGGAGACCGTGTAATATCGCGGAGAATTCGGTGGCGCGATCTGGAAAAATTCTGCAAAACTCAGCCGAATAGACGGAAAGCGGTCGAAAATGTCGGCGATGGTGACGTGCTCATGTGGCCTGTGTACAGCGAGACAAGACAGGACGACAGTGAAAAAGTGTACTGCAATATCTTACTGCGACAATTCACTTACCGTTCCGCGTGAATAGCTTCAACCAGGTGTGGTGTCATCAACGCAGCAATGTCGTCGTTGTTCGAAGAGTACGCGGCGAGGCTGCGAAGGAACCTGGAAGGTGGCGTCGAGATGAGGTCGACACTCCATGTGAGTGCATCGCGCACTGTTCCGATGTTGGCAAACGGACGCTGATGAACTCCTTGATGCTGCAGTGAGCTCTGTTGCTCGCCAGCACTTGCCAAATCGACGGGCTGTTCAGCAATGTAAATCAAGCCGGGGTCCTCGATGTGCAAGTGAGCAAGCATGCGATCTACGACCGACAGATCATTTGGTACGTAGACGCCAATGTTAGACGCCTGCTCACCGACTTGCTCTTGTTGCTCGTCACGAATGCGGAGGTCAATGTGACGCACCGACCGCCATGCACCGTCTGCCGTTTGATGAGGCACACTGATCACATCGTTTGCTGCGACCTCCAATAGCGATCGACTGTGTTCTGCCATGAGCCTTTGGCGTACACCGGCATCACTGCCTTTGCTCGCGTAAAAGGACAAGCTGCACACAGGCGCAGGAGCTGTCGGCACCTCTCTCTTGTCCTGACTCTGTAGACTCAGTTCGTACTCCATCAGTTTTTCCTGCACACACTCGTCAGCAGGTTGAAGCTTCACGGTTCCCACACGTACGTCACGGACAAACCTGGTAGATGAGGTGGACGCAGTTGGGACAGTCCAAGTGGCAGCACTCGTCTTCGTCCGGCTCATCTGGAGGGGTTAGAGGCCCTAGCGGCACCACTATGGGCTGGACGTACACGAGAGAGAGACGACGATGAGGACCCGAGACACCCATAGATTCGTGATTGGCCACGGTATTGACGTACATCTGTCTGTTGGCGCTTTCTCGCCATTTCTCGCTCGAGCTCCATGAAGACTTGCATGCCATCGCTAACAAACGACCGGTGCTGCTGCTGCTGTAGTGTACGTTCAGCACCCGCGAGTGTCCGTGGCAAGAGTCTGTTGTGGCACAGCGTCGCTGTGTGGTACGCGCAGCGGCGAAGCGCTCGCGTCGTCGACATGCCGCTGCTCGTCGGTGGTGTCTGTGGCCACAATTGTACCGAAATGCTGGTACACGGATGTCAGATCAGAACACGCAATGGCACATCTAGTAATCAACCTGCGGCATGTATTACGACCGTACAGGCACAGCACGAGGTGCTGAGGCCGCCTACGTGTGTGTGTGTGTGTGTGTGTGTGTGGGTAACAAACACTACGAAAGGAGAGAGAGGTTCTCGTCATGATCACGCAGTTGACGGTACTGGCTGCGTCGCCGCCAGGCAAGAACTCCAGCAACAGCCACCAGGCCAAAGAGCAGGTAGCTCCCGATGTAGTCGGACGCGTGGAACCGGTTGGGTTCGTCGACTATCGCGGCCATCAGACTTGACGAAGATCCTTTGCCCCTCTCTGTTTGTTCGGGCAACTTGCAGTCGTGCTCGGTGCGCGGGCTGCGTGCAAATGCAAATGCCTTGGAGAACTCCTCGATGCTGCACAGAGCTGCAGTGGCAAACCAAGCATTGCATGAAGTCAACATATTGTTTGCCTCGACGTGTCTCCTGACAAGTGATGTTGGCAGCTAAATGGTGACTACAGTACGTACTGTCACGGCAGTCAGGAAGCAGTTGAGGCTCTCCGTGGAAAATCATTCGGACGGCGTGCGAGCCCTTTTTGGTCTTGTACACTTCGATCACCAGCATACTCGCGTACGGAGTCCAAGCGCGGTCCCAGTTCTCTTTCATTGTTGCCGCCAAGAATGGCATGATGGTTGAATCGTGCGCTGCACACAAATACCAGGTCAGTGAAACGAACGTATAGTGGAAGCTCAGAAATGGTGCGTCTGTACCCATCGTGACAGAGAGCTTGTGTGCGTCAGAATCACCGTTGAGCACGCTGTCGAGCCGAGTGAGCATGTCGTGGGCCAGTGGCTGCATCGCGACTTTTGCGTACCACGAATCATTGTACGTCAGAAAAATTCCTTGGCGCACTTCCACTTCGTGGTAAGTCTTAGCGAACGTATCCTCGTCCACGCCATCCGGCAGCTCAAGATTGTTGCAGCGAGCTACGCTGAGACACTCTAGCACTGTGCCCCAGGAAAACTTGCCGACAAGATCGTCAAAGTGGTGCTCGATCGCGATGGTAGAAGGGTTTCGGAGGTGGTCCCGGAACTCGGGACTCTCGTTGGACATCTGTCCAATGTTTTTCATGAGCGGGCAGATTCTTTCGTTGGCGTTGACGTAGTCGACGGAAATATCGGCAACATCCCACGATAGCGTTCGGCGAAGCTCCAGCGACTGGCTGTCATCGATTGGGAAGAGTCCGTCGATTAGTGCTTGGCCGGATCCCAGCGTTCGTTCTTGGTCATCACTACGCAGATAGATCTCCTTTGACCCAATGTCCTATTGCCGCGGATCCAACCATTTGAAGTGTAAGTGCGAAGTATGCAAGCACCAGCCTAAAGTATGAGAGGCAACGCACCGACAAGTTTGAAGTAGGGAAAAGCTTGAGGGAGCTGTTACCCACGTACACGTCACGCAAAAACCTACACACAGTACGGGTCGTCAGCACTCGTATTCATCAGTACAACACATCTCACAGTCAATGCATTACGCACTGTCCATTCGACTTGTGCTGCTGACGTCCTAGCCGAAGCAGGCCGCCAACAATGCAGTCTCCGTTGAGGATATTGTGACCGTCCATGTATGACTTGTGATACATGCGGCCGAACTCGCTCATGGGCGCCTTCTCTGGACTGGTGTCCTGAAACTACAGCATCGAGTGTACAAAACGTCAATCTACTGCCAGCCCAAAGGCAGATGGAGGCAGCACTCACGCATACCGAGATGGAAGTCGGAGTGCAGTTCCACGCCGCGTTCATGGGGTTATGCTTCTGCTCGTCCCAGCAAAAGATTCGACCATAAGGAGCGCGAGCTCCATGACGCGCGATGATCTGCACTTGCTCGAGGGACTCTACAAGCTCCAACTGCTCGGGGCTAAGCGGTGGAATGCGTGTAGTCTCGATGCGGTCCAAGTCATTGCAGTAGCGGTGCGGTGCCCAGCCATCGTAGGGACCGGCTGCGACTTCCGCAAGAGCAGCACCGACCAGGGCAGCAATCAACGCAGCAAGTCGCATCCTTCGTGAGCGTGTGGCGGCCTCAGCGCGAGTCTCGCAATGCACCGATCAAGCGCCAGCTCGGAATTGCTCGCGTCGCTTTACGGATATGCGATCCACGACTTGTGCGGTCCAATAAGTGCCAATCAAAACGCTCGTACCTGATTTTGCGCCTCATTTGGTGGCGTGGTGTGGTGGTAGTGGTGGTGGTTGTGAAGTAGCGATACGAAAGTAACACGCTGCCCATCGCTTACTTCGGTGCCTCATGAAAGGGGGGAAAATTCCCAGTCCGTTTCCATTCTTCTCGCTCGGTGTCTGCCGCTAGAGAGAGAGAGAGAGAGAGAGAGAGAGAGAGAGCTTCTAACGTCGTAGCTTCGTCCGTCCTGCACCAGTCGTTCGTGAACATGGAGAGCGGCTCGGAAGACGAAGACAACGTCCTGTCGCTGCGGGAGGAGCTGCGCGCGAAGACGCATGCGCTCAAGCAGGTCCAAGACGAGTTTGACGAGTACACACAGTCGAGCCACGAGCTGGAGCAGGAGCTCGAGCAAGAGCTCTCTCGCGTGGAAAAGCGCAATGTCTATCTGATGAACAAGAGCCAGTACTTTGAGCGTGACCTGCAGGCCGCGCGCACGAAGCTGGACGAGGCGCTGGACCAGACGCGCAAGCTCGAGGATGAGCTCCAGACCACGCGCGCTGAGCTCAAGAAGGCCGTGGGAGCTCGATGCAAGCTCGAGCAGCATCAAGATGAGCTGGAGACGCAGGTGCGCGTGCTGCAAGCCACGGAGAGTGATCTGAGGCACAAGATGGAGCGAGAGATTGAGGAGAAGGTGTTTCTGCTTAGTGATCAAGACGAGCTACAGCGCGAACACGAAATGGCTGCAGAGCGTTTTCGCACGGAGATCATGGACCTCAAGTCGGAGTTGTATGCCTTTCAGCAAAAGTACGAGGACGTGACGATGACGTTGGAGACCCGCGGATCGGTCTCAGGCAATGATAGCATGGCCACGACCCACAGCCAGTCGGAAGATGGTGACGACGGCTATGATTTGAGCTACAGTGACAGCATGCAGTGCGGTTCGACTGTGCAAGAGCGTGACGAACTTAGTCGTGAACTGCTGATCGAGTCGCTGAAAGAGGAGATTGAGGCCCTGAGTTCCAGCTTGCAGGATGAGACAGATGCCCGCGCTGCAGCAGAAACTGAGGTGCAGCAACTTCGCGAAAGCCTCGCGCACATGGAAGCTATGGAGGCAGAAATGACGGACATGACTGACGAACTGATTGGGAAATCTCAAGAAGTGCGTGCTCGCGACGAGCAAATTGAAGAAATGCGCGAGTCTCTGCTAAAGCTTCAGTCTGAGATGGCAACGCTTAATGATGGCGGCATCGAGTTTACGAACGAGCGGGAGAACTTGCAGAATGAATTGAAAAGCAAGGACAGAGACATAAGCAACCTAACTGAAGAGCTAGAAACGATCAAGTCACAATGCGATGATCTTGCCGAGAACGAGCGCCAACTCAACATCCGTCTCGTGCACGAAAGCGAAGCTGTGGATGAGTTGAAGGAACAGATGGAGATTTTGGCGAAAAGTCTAGAAGAAGTCAAGCAAGAGCGCAGGGAGCTCGAGAGCAAGCTACAGAATGGCAAGGGTGAGATATCGCAGAATCGCAAGGAGGTGGAAGATCTGAGTAGCACGAATGTAGAGCTTCAACAACAGCTTGATGAGTCAAACAAGAGGATATTCGAGCTGCAACAAGCCTCTGCTGTACTGACGGCTTCGGCCGTGCCGCCGGCTGCAGATATGTCTGAATCGAAACGGTTGAGGATGGAAATACAAACAATGCGGGCGTCCATGAACTCTTTGTCAGCGGAAAATGCGCGACTGAGAAGTCAAGAAGGGATGTCTACCAGCGTCGCACCTGCAAAGCGTGTGTCAGCTGACGTTTTGCAAGTGAATTATACGCCAGAGCAGCTTGCTCGAAAGTACATAGCGGAACGGACGCGGAACGCTTCGCTGCTTTCGCGTCTGCAGACTGTGTGCGGTAACATTCAGGTGTTTTGTCGTGTCCGGCCGATCATCAATGAAGAGCTGGAGAAGGCGTGGGGTTCCAAGTTGGCAGTCAACGTGGTGAACCAGTCCGATTTGGCTGCTATGGATGTTCGGTATGACCGTTTGTCGCCAAGTGAGCCCAATGGAAAAGTGGTCAGCAGTGTCGACATGGAGGCGCTAGCAAATAATAGTTCGTGGAAGGTGTTTACGTTTGATCGAATCTTAGGTCCCGACGAGACGCAGAATGATGTTTTTCGTGAAGTGGAGCCGATCGCGCAGTCCGTTGTGGATGGGTTCAAGGCGTGTATTTTCGCGTACGGACAAACCGGTTCGGGAAAGACGTATACAATGGAAGGTACACCCAGTGATCCCGGTCTGAACTACAAGATCATTAGTCACCTATTTCAGTCGATTCAGCTGCGGGGAGCGATATACAGCTGCGAACGTGACGACAAGGGGCCTGAAGACGACGAAATGAACGGACTGGAAACCGCAACCAAAACATCTGTGTATCACGTGCAAGTGGGTGTGCTGGAAATTTACAACGATTCGGTACGCGACCTATTCAATACGTCCAATAAAGCACTGGACATTCGTCACGATTCTGCGACTGGCGACATTTGCGTTCCCGATCTGACAATGACATCAGTATCGTCTCCTCAGCAGACGATTGACGTGTTGCGGACTGCGCAGTCAAATCGTGTGACTGGTAAAACTAATTCCAACATGCACAGTAGTCGATCACATAGTATTGTGATCGTGCAAATCTCGAAACGCCGACCGGAAAGAAACGATGCTGATAAAGACCCAGCCGACTTCGACGCCGACGAAGAAGGGTGTGGTAAGCTGTACCTTGTGGATCTGGCTGGCTCGGAGAGAGTAAAGAAGAGCAATGTAAGCGGAGACATGCTTCGGGAGGCCGCTCATATCAACAAGTCCCTGTCAGCCTTAGCTGATGTGATGGAGGCTCTGGACAAGAAGATGTCTCACGTTCCATACCGCAACTCGAAACTCACGTATTTGCTCCAGGACGTTCTCAACTCGTCGTGCAAAACAGTGATGATCGTTAATGTTGGTCCGACCATCGAGAATGCTAGCGAGACGTTCCGATCGCTGCAGTTGGCGGAACGCGTGCGCAATATTGTGGTGGGTAGGAACCAAATTGTGAAGAACAAGAAGGACATTTTGTCGGCCAAGAAAGCGTTTGCTGAGCTTCAGTCGTTGAAGCAGCAGATGCAAATTTCCAAGCGAAAGTACATGCAGTCACAGCAATCTGTGGTCGCTCTGGTAAGTCGCTGTCGGTCTTCTTTTAGTTCGGGGAAGCATTTGTTCTCACGCCATGGTTTCGGTGGCTCCCCTTCTCCAGAAACGAGACCAGAAGAACCAGTCGGAAAAGCAGTCGGCAACGCTGCAAAGCCGGCTTAGGGCGTGGGAGACGCAAAACGAAAGCCTGAAGTCTCAAAATGAATCGCTGAAACGGCTCGTCGACGATCTGAGTGACCAGCTGAAGGCTGAGCGGGAGACTAAACAGAAGGAAGCGGAACAATGCGAAGCTGCTCAACGCTTACTCCGACAGCAGAATGCTAAGGCTCGTGTGTCTTCGTCGCAGCAAGAGATGCAGCAGAAGCTGGTGCAAGAACGCGAAGAAGAGATAAAAAAACTGCGGCAATTGTTGACGGAAGCCAGGCGACGAAGCACTTCCTCTCTTATTCCACGGCTGCCGCTATCATCGCCACCCATGAAGAAGTCGAAGAGCGCTCGCCCAACAAGCTTACCTTGCACTGAGCAAGAAGATGATGGTACCAGTGCAACTCGAGGGCCAAGCACGCAAGCGCCTGGTGCCAATCGCACCACAAAGCTGCATGTGACTACTCGTGGGTTAGCGGGATCGCGTTCGCAGCCTGGCGTCCCGTCAAGTAATGGGACCGGGAGACGTCAGAGCCCACAAGTGAGCAAGAGTCCAGCACCAGCGTCAGCGCGGACAACATCTACGTCAAAGCAGGGTACTTGGAAATGATTGGCGAAATGGAGGCCAGAAGAGGGAGCGAACGCATCCAAGGTTATGTAGAGGCGGTAGGGAGATTTGAGGTTAGCTCAGCGGTCGGTCGTAGATCGCTGTCGTGGGTCAATTGGTGAATAAAGAATTTGCAATTTGTCGTGTTTGTGGCTTCAAATGTGATTGTAGGTCGTTGAACCAGACGTTGACAATCCTGCCTTTTACACCCAGATCTAGCAACTATGACTTCGGAAACGTGTTTCCTGCGCTTCCAATTGCGTTCGTACTGGAGGAGGCCGGCATACGTGCATTCGTGTACTCGGCCAAGCTCCGCAGCACTTGCCGCAGCAGACCTTTCTGTTGACTAACATTGTCGAACACGTGCAGCAGCTCAAAGAGAAGATCTTCTTGCACCTCCGTAGCAGCCGGCGACACACTTCCGGTAGTAGGCAGATGAAGGACACGCTCCAGCACTTCACTGATCGCAGGCTTTACAATGTCGTCAAACGCCTTATCCTCTCCACTTGCGTCCTTGTCGTCTTCTTCATGATGCAGATCTCGGCAAGCTACTGTCGAATCGACCGCTAGATGTTTGCGCTCATCTTCGAACATGCCATCAACCTTTTTGTCGTTGTGAATAGTTGTTGCGGCTTCGACGGTGGCTGCAACTTCCGCTTGAGTTTTCAATTCCCGCTGGAGACTTGTCGATGATAACCGAACAGTATCGAAATCCCATGCGCTTCCGACTGACACGTCTCGAGTATGCCCTTTGCCGCTGCCATAGTAGCCATATGCCATTGGCAACGTAGCATCATGCCCTTTCCCCATAGGATGAGGGGGACTGCTGCGACACAATCCGTTCTCGACACGGTCGTTGTAAAGGACGCCATCCTCGCCCTGTACATCTTTGCCGCCTTTTCGGTCGTGCTGCTGGCTATCGAACGCGTTTCGGTCCAGGAGTTTGGTGAGGTGAGATGTAAGCCCCGCGGAGCCGATGAACGGGTGCTGGAGTAGTTCGGACGCAGTCGGTCGATCCTGCGGGGCCTTTTGCAAGCAGCATGACACGAAGTTGACGAATCGGGGCGAGAAATTACCGTCAAGTACAGGCGGGTCCATCGTTGGAATCATGAACAGTACTTTCATTGGGTGAATGCTAACATTGAGAAAACGTGTCAGTACGACGCGTGGGACGGTAGACGTTCTGCGAAAAGGACACCACGTACTCAGCTAGCGGAGGCACGCCTTTCGCCATCTCAATTGCGGTGATACCTAGCGACCAAATGTCCGCCTTGAAATCATATTCAGACTCCTGAATGACTTCAGGTGCCATCCAAAACGGAGTGCCTACTGCCGTGTTGCGCTTTGTCATGGTCTCTGTGATTTGGCCTGTGACGCCGAAATCTGCAAGCTTTACGTGTCCGTCTCCACTCAACAGTACGTTTGCAGCTTTGATGTCGCGGTGAATCTTCTTTTCCAAGTGCAAATACTCCAGACCCTTCAGCAGTTCACGCAGGATAATGGCAATAAAGACCTCGTCTAGAGGTCCTTTACGCATGATATCTAGCACTGAACCACCTGACAGGAACTCCATGATAATCCTACGTCACCGAACAACAACAACAGCAGTAGCAGCACTGTCAGCCCTTGTGTCCTGTATTCTGTACCCCACAGAAGCTGGAAACAGAAGACGAACCACAGCTTCGTGCCCGCAATGAACGAGCCCGAGTACGTCGTGAGCTGGTCGCACGAACACTGAGAGAGTACGTGGATCTCCTGCTCACATGACAGCAGTAAAAGAGTGACTCCCTCACTGATAACAGGGCGAGAGAGGCACACACACACAAAAATAAAGACACATAGGAGCTGAGAACACCGCACCTGCTGCACGTCTTCGATCCCGTCGGCTGCAGACTCGAGGTCGATGATCTTGATGGCAACCACCTCATCCGTCTGTCTATTGCGCCCCTTGAAGACCTCCCCGAAGGCTCCGCCGCCAATGCGCTCGGCGACTTCGTACTGCAGTGTGGGGTCCAAACTGCCGCTCATTGTGCAATCCGCAGCCACAAGTCGTCGTGGAGTCGCAGGCCCGCAGTCGTGCGTGCGGGCGTGGCGACCTCCTCCCCGTTTTATGACGTGCGAGCCATTTCCACCGAGATAGCTCGTCGACAACTACGATTGGTGGATAGCGCATGCAAGCTGCCTTACGAGTGGCTGATATTCACAAGGGCTAATTTCGAGACCAGCTGCTGATACTGCGCTTCAAGACGCTGGTACTCGGTCTCGAGAAAAGCTTTGCGACGATCAGAACTCTCCATCCCGTCCAATTCCTCCACGTGCAAGCGATACAGCCGCTTCTTGACCTCGAGACGAAACTTCTTGCACTGCACGTCGTCGGTCGAATCGACAAATGCAAACTTGCGGGCCTCGTAGCAGGTCTGCACCTGCTTGTGCGTAATCTTGAGCTTCTCCTGCACCGCGTGAATGTCTGCCGTTGTTAACGCGGCCGTACCACGTCCAGTTCCACTTGCGTCGGCGCTCGCATCCGGTGCGAGAGAGAAAAACTCGTGCTCGATGCACTGTTGTAGATCAAGTCGATCTCGAAGCTGTAGCCGTTGCAAAGCGAACCATCACGTTAGCGTCGTGGAGCGAACACACGCTTGTAGGGCTACGTACGCTGGCAAAGGCTGGCACAGGGTCTTCTACAGTCAGTTCGTATACGCGAGGATTGGTCACTGACTGTGCATGAATGCAACGCACGAGACGCTTGGCATGACCTGTACGGCACGTATTCGTCAGGTCTCATCGCGTACAGTCGCTGCAAACGAGCACCTCACCTTGGCGCTGGTGTGTCGGGAAAACAAGAGCTTGACAAATGCGGTGCGTCTCGTTTTGGTCCGGCTTACAATACGCAGCTTTACGTCCAAGAGGATTGCAAAATTTGAAGACAGTGATGTAACCTACCGGGCAGAAATCTTCGCTGCCATCTGCTGTCCGCTCGTAGGTCAAGTAGACTACCCATCGTGGATCTGTGACATCAATTGCGTCTGCACCTGCAACGGAGAGCTCGTGAGAGTGACTCAACACCATGTTCAGTTGTTGTAATGGAGAAGTCCAATCAAACCTTCAATAAACCAGAGCGACAGCGTCTGCAGGTTGGCCAAGAGCTTCTGAGCTGGCTCGTTGTCCTCCAACTCGCACTTGTAGATCTCAAAGTCCCGCTGTCGTGTTAGCTTTGTGCCGTCGTCCACGTACGCCGTGTACGACTCGATGCAACTTCCGGGAGGCACGGTAAAGTCTGCCGCGGCTTTACGCAGTGCCGCTATAAACTCACCTGGTTCTTGGACGCAGTGTTGCGGGAGCGACGGTCTTATCTTTGCAATGACATCATCGGCACTGTACATTCACACACAACACCGTGAGCGTTTGCAACAAAGGCAACCCCTCAGAGCTAAGGCTGCACCCACGTGTCGTCTTTGTCTTTGTATTCAACGTTAAGTAACGCTTCGAAGCTGAACCCACTGAAGACCAACGAGATGCGAAGATCCTCATAGCCGCTAATGATCTCATCGGTACCGAACGCGTGGTACGTGAATTGGGGAGCGAACCACTGGAGTGTCTGCGCTTGAACCTGATCGGCGTCCAAAGCTGCAAGTAGTCGGTAGTGGTCAATACAATGAGCAAAAGTTTGCATACCATATGGTACATACCGATGGAAAGAGATATAGCGTCTGTCGAAGATGTCGTGCGCGCGAAACGAACGCGCTTGACGTCGGACGTGGGCTCCTCGTTCGTCGGCCGCTTCATTCCTGGTTCAAGTGGCGCCATCGGTGTTGAACCAGCTGATCATTTGTTTGATGAAGTGCACGAGTTTATTTTAGGACGATAAAGCCTGATATGAAACACGTGGGACTATATTCGGCCGGCTCACGTGAACCACCGGTTTTTGGCCGAGTGTCACCGGGCTTTCTATCACAAGCGAGCGTGAGAAGAAGAGCATTATCACATTAGGCGCACTTTGAATGCACTCCACTTTGTATGTTGTGATGACACACATCCGTTGGATCAAAAGTATGCTCGTCACCTAAGCCTTGGGCGAGCAGAAGTCGTACGACGGAATAGTGAATGACTCGATCATAGCGACTCTAAACCAAGCATCGACCATATATGTCGGTATCTTGACCTGTCTCAACGCTACATCTCTTAGCACAAATACTACTACCACCATCTACATGGTGCTTCTACGTTCTTAGCAATCGATCAGTAAACGCTCCTTCCGAATCGACAATAGAAAGCCAAAAATGCGCTCAAGCAGTCATCGTGGAGTCGGCGCGTAATTACAACTAGCCCGGCTGTCCGGTATATTTCATTACGTTTTGTCGTTCAAATCCAGACAAGCGATGTCAGGACTGCGTATGGAAGAATAGGATGTCGACACTACCACAAAAATACGATTTGTGTCACGGATGCAAAGTCCTTGCACTGTTTGCTCGGCGGTGATAATGCAGCACCTAGGTCTACGACATCAGTAGGGCGCTATCAAGCGACTCAGAGAGCGTCGAATAGATGGAAGCGGACGTGTCGGTCACTCAAATCTCAGAAGCAAACAGAACGTTGAGCTTCGCTGCGTGCTGTTTGGTAAACGGCAATTTCTGAAACCCAGCCATACAAACAAGCAGTTGAGTCCAGAAATCTGAATTTGGCTGTGGTTATTCACGTACCCTTTTCGAATGAGAAGGATGGCGGCTGGGAATGGCTTGTGCGACGTGAGGTATAGCAACACTACTGCTGCCGTCGTTGCTGTGTGCTTGAAGCAACCCATTGGAGTTGTTGATTAGTGGTAGGGAAAGATCAGAGAATAGCGAGATGACGGCTGATCTTGCCTGTGCAACAAGAACGTCAACAGAGTGCAACAAGAACGTCAACAGAGTGCAACTGAAGACTAGAAATCTTGATGAGCAGGAGAGAGGTAGAAGCTGCGTCTGCTGCCGACCGAGGCGGGTGGCTCTTATCGTCTGACTGTTTCGTGTTGTCGAGTGCTACGGATGAAGTAATCGTTCGGCATGTCTATGTTGCCTGAACAATGCTACTTTGTTGTGGTGCGTCGCCGCGTGAGCGACAGACACATATACCGATAGTGGCTGCTGAGAAGGCCAACTCATATCTTACAAAGCAGGTTTCGTTACATGCTGGCGTTCACCTTGCGATTCGAGCCACGCGACCCTCGAGTTCACTACCGGATGAATTGCAAATAGAGTGGCTCTGTTTAAACTTTTCAGGCGTCCGCAGCACTCGTGACACGATGGAAAGATACGGCTAGCAGGGCCTCGCCCACCCGACTATCACAAATCTCACGTTGCGCTTTGACAAAACATTCATTATACGCACAGACTGAGTAATTGCTGTGTGTTTAGGTTCGCAATATCGGGGCGGGCATCAAGCATCTCGTCGACCTAAACAACATCATCGCTCAAGCAATTGACCAGTACGTACCATTTGTTCCCACAACAACATGATTTCTAATTGGGGATAGAAAAGATGAAGAACGGCCAAAAATGGCCCACACAATCACGAAGCTAGAAGATTACAAAAAAATGGAAGTCTAAATATTCGTTTTCCAACTATCTAAAATAAATAAATAAATGCATCACATGACCGGAAGTATACTGCACTGAACAATATAATAGAAATTCCACTGCTGATGTATACAATATGAATAAATATGAGGTAGTCAAGAGAGTCATTCACATCCCCGCATCTCGTTACAATTCCGTCTCATGATACGTCAACGAGAACACTTATAAACTGTATATGTAAACAGACATACTACAAGAGTGAGGCGATGTTGACGCTAAAAGCGTGAAACGATAGTGTTTTTCTTTGTTAACGACAAGTGTACGTGACTTCCAACTCCACATCACAGATCTTATAATTTGACATTGTAGTGATGTTTAGCTGTGCTATTGGCGGAACATTTCAAGCAAGCTGACACGAGACAATGCCGTGTTCGGTTGGTACCTACGCAATGCTGTGGGAGGCGTGTAAGCTACGACTCGACGGCGGCATCATACGAAATATGAACATCAAAATCGAGAGGTGGCAAGTTAGTCAAGAGCTGACGAAAGTATTGTGACACGATTACAGGCGGTCACGCGGATGATTGCAAGCACATATAGTAGTTCGCACGCTATCAATACATAATGCTGAGAGAATGGTATAGTCGCCAGAAGAAGCTGCTGATGTTACTAGAAAATTCGGAGCTGGGATTGACATTTCTTGATGGATGATCTGATGATTGATGCAATAATGACATATACAGTGGAGGACATATTGCACATAACGTGTAACGGGGCACCGACGACTACGTACTGGTCAACCACTGCGAAGTTTACTATCACTGACTGTAGTGATAGTCAGTGCCCAGCTAGGTGTAGAACTACACAGATGAAGGTAGAACGACTAAGGTGTAAGACTCTATTCGTAGAAAAAGTAAAACTGTATTAATATAATTAAGTCCTATAACTCTTGAATCTCTGTTTGTACTGACTTGATTATACCGATGTAACTATTTGTATGATGACGTCTACTCACCACCCATTGCGCGCGTCTAGCAGCAATTGGTGGGTTGATGTCATCACGATATCAACCAATGAGTAGACCCTTCGGTCATCTTCAACACTATTATCATGCTATGTGATATCGTTGAAAGAATATTCAACGTAACATTCTTTATTGTCATTTTATCCTTAGTGACAATATCATGTAACGGGCTACCCCGTTACATAACGATAGCAGCTCGGCTTTTCGGTCAACAACGAACAAACATAGCAAAATAATCGAGTGCTCCATTATGCTACATAGTATGGGTCCGCGCTCTTATGCGAGGGCATTGAATAACAATGCTCGCGTCATAGAGTTAGAGCTTTCTGTAACAAAGGAGCTGTCGTATAGAAAAATTGCATGATTTACAACGATGTAGTCTATGCACTCAAATTACTGATCTGACACCGCCCAATGTCCGGAAATGCTTTTTCCCTATTATGTTATGCGATACCGACAGATCACAATTAGAGCGTCAACACACAATTTCATTCTTGTAAAATGAAAAGGACTGTATGCAATGGGGCACCGATCGCTACGTACTGAACTACCAGAACGGAGCCAACTCTCACTGACAGCCTTCAGTGCCCTGATACCTTTATACACTTTACAGAGAAAGGCAAACATCTAAGACTTTACTTGTAGTAAAATAAAAATTGCTATTGTTATACTATTATCGAATATAATTAAGTTCAATATCTCTCGTGTTGGATTTGTCCTAACTTAATCATATTCATGGAACTAAATGTATGATGACGTCTAATCAGCAGCGATCGTTGGATTAATAAAAACAAAATATCAACCAATGAGTAGAACCTTAGATCACAGCAACAATATCACTGAATTTAGTTATGGTCTAGTGAGAATATTTGACATAATATTCTTCATTACCATTTCTCATAAGGGTAATTTCATGTAACGGGTTACCCCGATACATCACCTCACATAACGGATGGTCAATTTATGACTATCTCAACGTAGTGGCAACCCGTTGGACACCATTGAGACAGGGAGAGCTTGCATCGTCAGATCCAATCACACCTGACCTTGCCTCGCATAGTTGACATGTCTATGCGGGGAGACTCAAAGACGGCACATCATGTTGCTGCGCAAGCATCCGAGGCAGACGTTTCGTCTTCTGCTGCTTTTTCTCTTCCTGCAGCACCTGTTGCTGCAGGCGCACGTGGTAACACACGACGTACACACGATGACTCCGAGGTAAAGGTCATTTACTCTGGCGAGTCAGACTTGTCTGAATCGGGATAGGCCTCAGAGGAACCCGGGTCACCCGTAATGTCTCAATATGAGTCTTCATCAAAGACTCTGCCGAACGAGCGGACTCGCTACTTGCGTCAAAGTCTGTTCAGTATGGATAATGGATATGACGATGGTGAGTATATATACTCATCATCACAGCCAGATCGTGCATCTTCGCACGAGCGTGTCGACGATGGCGCGAGCCATCGTCAATTTGAAGAACTTAGTACCGACGTTGGTACCACATTGAGGGGTGATGAGATTGAGCCGTGTCTCTTGCCCGAACTCCTTATCAATAGTTTGCCGCACGAGTCATGCCATCACCATCGAATACCAACATTCGATGCAAGTGAGCTTCTTAGATTGATCTCCAGCGCGGTCAACTCTCGCGCTGAAGAAGACTACTATCCAAATGCTTTTCTCAAGCATCGACGGTACAACATTAACCAAAAACGTGACAAGAACTCGCTTTTGGCGGCGTGCAACGCGTTCGTTCAAAATGTGAAAATGTTTTGGACGTAAATCGTGGCTCCAAAGCCTCGATGCGGTACGCATCAAGTTTGAGAAACGAACATCAAATGTTGTAAGGCATCGGTTATCGTGTGAGGCAGGCATTCGTTTCCTCACATGGGGTACCCTTGTACGAGTTGTGTTGACAACTCGCAGCTTACTCAGAAGGGAATTGTATTTTCTGATTTCGCCCTGAGTTAGGGATCACATCTCGGCTGAGACGCTTAGCGCAATTGCGAACTTGTAATCCTTCTACAAGCACCAAAATAGCGTGTGTACCGATGAGCCCGATGACTCATCAGATTTGCCTCGTCATACTGTTGGACGAGACCCTCAACATCAACCATCAGATGGGATCTAGGTTCCCAATTTTGATACGAGGGTAGATACCCCCGACGGTGAACAAGTTAGAGTTCTTCACGCGTTTTCTCGTAATACGCCCCACGTGAAAGTGTCGGACA